ATGCTACGGTAATAATGTCTATTATTTATTTTCCTCCCTACAGTCTCCTGTAAATATATCAAACTTCAAAAAGTGCTTCAAGAAATTAACGACACAATACTCAAACAGCCTCCTCTTTTAAAATATCATCTCTATACAATCACTAATCATGTGAACCCACAGAAAAGCATCCAAAATATCAATTAAGATACCTTAAAAACTATATACTGATAATAAACCCCTTCAGGATGCCAGTAATAAACGTTCAGTTAACAGACGCTCCCTTATAAGCAAGGGAATAAGAGTCAAACCTGTCAAACCTGCCACTGTGTAGTGCTCTGACAGCAAACGTCAGGCTGTGTTTGTAGACGGCATGCAATAGCAGACGGCCATTTGTTGAAGTTTACAGTTGTGCAGACTCAGGAGAAAGACGAAGTCAGGATGGCTTCATGCTGCTGATGGTGAAGCGTTCCGATGCCTACAGCCGGAGCGGGTAATGCGGGTCTGCTGACCAACCGCAACTGAAAATGACATCAGTAAATCAGATGAGTGTCATGAACTGAAGAGACATGGGCTGTATCTGAAATCACCGGCTATACCCTTATGTAGTGCACTATTCGAGGGAGCAGCCATTTTTAGTGGTCTCCAAAACCATAGTGGACACTATGAAGTGCACAACAATACAGAGTCTACCACTGCGTCCTAATTTGCATAATAATATTACAACCTAAAAGTATGTACTTTTTTTGAAGAAGAAGATATAGTACATCTGTTTAAGTGTGTAACACAGGAGTGTGCAAACATTGGCACGTACTACTTTCCTCATTAACAAACCATTAGGTTGCTTAATTAAATCCCCTGTCAATCATCTTGACACATCATCCACATCAGCTGGTGTGTGGTCTGGCGCAATATGGCTGCCGTCGCATCATCCAGGTGGATGCTACACAATTCAGCAGCACATTAATCTGCCGTTCACGAGTCTTTCATGCAGAGAAATCTCCTCAGGACAGTAATTATCAGGGCTTGACATTAACTTTTTTGATGGCCAGCCACTGTGGCTAGTAGTTTTCCAATGTTACTAGCCACTCACAATTTTCACTACCCACAATTTTATTGTTGGGAAAATATATTTTATATGCAGGCATGCTAAAATTACTTTATTTTGTGTAAAATTTGTGTTACGTCCACATGCCTCCTCGTTAGTTTACTTTTTCTGTGTGTTGTGACCTTGCATGTGGTCTGTGGTTTTTATAGTGTCGCATTGCACATTTCACAGGACTTTTTAGGGCTCAAGACTAAGGATTTAATGTTTTTTTCTCTGATTATTATTTCCTAAAACTACTTATTTACTTGCCACAAATAAAAACTGCATCAAAACAAGCAAAATACAACATTTTATTCAACAAAAATGTTCTTAAAACAATTGACATTTAAAACATTCTCATGCATCTAATGCAGAGTTCAGACTGCATGATTTCCAAAGTAGTCGTGTCACGGATGTTTTCACACTGCATGACTTTCTGGGCTAGCGTTCAGTCACTGCAGTGTTTACACAGCAAGATGGATCGACGACAGGGGCTTTCACATTGCATGACTTTACAAGAGGAAGAATCGCCGACAACTTCATCCAAACTACGTCTCACAGCCAAAAACACGTGGTATATCATTTTTTAACAACTACAAAATGAAAAATAAGCCTTTAATGGGGTAGAAATATACATATTTGCTCACCTGGGTTTGAAGGGAGTTAGCACTTTGTCCTCAACTTTCTTTTTTGACTTTCTGTATGACACGTCAAACAGACACGGGTGCTCCTGCCAAATTTACACTAGTTTTTCCTCTATTTCTTGGGTCCAAATAAACTGAAAGTGAACGCTTTTAACTTCTCTCCCAACCTCCTGCTGGCCTAGAGGTACACACACTAGTGAATGCCACTCTTTCATTAGCTGTAGGTGATCGCTGATGTTATTTTTAGTCAAAACTCATTTCACACGGCATGATTTGAATCGCCGACAGCTCCAGATATTTAGCACGCCAAATATCTCACAGGCATCAGCGACTCATCAGTGATTCTCTCAGATTGTATCTTTGATAGTTCACATTGTGTGATTGTCACTCACGTGAACGAGCATCGATTTGCCTGTGATTTCAGGCATTTGTCTGCGATTTCTCAAAACCTGTCAGCAAATTAAAATCGAGGCTAAAATCATGCAGTCTGAACTCAGCATAGGACTACACACAGCAGTCTGTCCATGCTAAAGGTCCCAGATCACCAGCTAACTATAGATAAATGCAGTTAATCTCCTATTAGAACAATGTTATTGTAAAGGATGATAATTATTGGGGAAAATGATTCTAAGGTCACATTTGCACGCATATCGACACACGGTCCTAACCTAAAATTTGAATCTTTAGTGACAAGGCAGCACTGACAATGTTATATATATATATATATATATATATATTTAAAAAAAAAATATATATATATATATATATATAAAAAAAAAAAAAAAAAATATATATATATATATATATATATATATATATATATATATATATATATATATATATTCAACCAGCCAAAGTGGCTAGTGGGGGTGTCAGTCTAAACCGCCACAGATGAAATCTACCCACATTTGGCGGGTTGGCAGGTGTTAATGTCAAGCCCTGGTAATTATGCATTTAGAAGTTAATATTCAAAGATATCTTTATACAAGTTTACATTGTTTTAGGAGATGAAATAGAACACAAAAAAAATGTGATTCAAATAATTTTCCAACTGACTAGATATTACTAGTCAATGGTTGATCTCGCATGTCCGCCATGTTTGTAGTTCGTTTACATTTTTTGTAGTTTTAATTGAATTCACGTCAGTGTATTGTGGGCACTATTAGCAATTAGAGTACGGATCGTACTACACATCAAGTTTTTACTAGAAAAAGTAAACCACCCAGGAACTTTTCAACACACTACGGTTATGGACATACTAATTCTATACAAATACTATTTAGGTCAGATAGTATGTGAATTGGGACGCAGCATCTAACCTATGCACACTCAACAGCTAAAAAAAAACCCCATAATGCTGTGTCCACTTCATATCAGACGCTAAACGCACAAATAAATCATGCGTAAATAGGCATGTGAACATTGAGTTTACTTGCTTTATTCGCGCATCAAATTCACTTAACAATAGACAAGGATTCACATAATGGGCAGGGCTTCTGTACGCCCGAAGACTCTAGCTTCATTGCTAAATGGCTAACATGGATTTTATTAGGAGAATAGCTGTGTTTATGTGCTTTATGAAGGCTAAGAAACATTGTATAATCATTCGGCGCCGAGTCCACTAGATCCATTCATAGGTGCACCCAGCTCTGTGAGTTCATCAACTCCTCCAGAAACTATACCTGGATGATGGAAGCTTTCAGCAGTGCTACAGTCTGAGCCAGACCAGTTTGATGAGCTGTTGTCGGTGTCGGTAAGAGGATTTCCTCTCGGGACACCAACAACAGGCGCTACGTCATAATCAGTCCCCTACAAGAGCAAGCTTCTGATTGGTTAATGCGGAGCAAATGTCCGCTGAAGTTCAGATTTTCCAACTTGCCCGGTAAACGCTCAACTGGCGCCACCTCATTTATGCGAATCTTGCTGCAGAATGTCTATTCACGTCTTTGCATTGACTTAACATTTACAATTACTCGCGCTTAACGCTTCATCCACGTCTGGTGTGAACGCAGCATTATAATTCGCACGCTGAATGAATTTCTGGCTCTGACCACTAGATGGCATCCACAGCACAATCCAATTGGTGTAAGTTTCAAAAAATATACATGTAATGTTTCCATAAATGGTAGAGATCAAAGGTCTTTGTTTCATTACTAATAGACAGCTCGCTAAGTGTTAAATAACCATTACAGGGTCTGACTAGAAACCTTTAAGTGAACTATAGTAATGGACTAATGTAGAGAATAGTGAATTAGGGTATAGGGGGCGATTTCGGATACAGCAAGACAGTCTGAAGGGCGATTAAATCATTGGCTAAGGGCCTTCGTTAGCATGAGGTGGTAAAACTGACCTTGCAGGCTAACTGTTTTTCAAACCTCGGTGACACAAATGACCAGCAGCCCATGTTCTGTGGCTCCTCTTGACTCCAGATGAACTCTGAAATACAAAAGGGAGTGATGAGGAAGATATTTGCGCCACTTTTGTGCATTAATACGTTTGGTTTTAATTGAATGTTAGCATTTTAGCTGTTAACATGTTCAAAAGTAAAAATAGGGAGAGTTCACCCAAAAGTGAAAATAGTGTACTTGTGTATAAAAACATTGGATTTTTATTGAATGTTAGCATTGTAGCTGTTAGCATGTTTAAAAGTAAAAATAGAGAGAGTTCACCCAAAAGTGAACATTTAATTTTTATTGAATGTTAGCATTTTAGCTGTTAGCATGTTTAAAAGTAAAAATAGAGAGAGTTCACCCAAAAGTGAAAATAGTGTTATTGTGTATAAAAATATTGGATTTTTATTGAATGTTAGCATTTTAGCATGTTTAAAAGTAAAAATAGGGAGAGTTCACCCAAAAGTGAAAATAGTGTACTTGTGTATAAAAACATTTGATTTTTATTGCATGTTAGCATTTTAGCTGTTAGCATGTTTGATAGAAATAACAGGGAGAGTTCAGGGAGAGATCTTATTTTGGAAATACGTTTATGAGTTCTTACAAAGTCCTTAAAAAGCTGCTTATGTCCACAATACCAATGTAAAAGAACTCTAATTAAAGTAATGATTTGAGTGTGCCATGAATAAAAGATGTCCATATGAGCAAGCTCACCTTTGGCGTTTGTGTATTTATTTAGTTCCTGTTGCAGAGCTTCTGTGGGGAAAGGACACAGTTCCTCGACCCTGACTAGCGCTGTGTTTTTTTCCGCCTCAGGTATCGTCTCTCTGTGTTTCAGCAGGGCATAGTAATGTTTACCTGAGCAAAACAGAACCCGCTGCACACTGCAAAAATAAAGAGAGCGCAAACGATTTGGGTTACAGCATATGAATAGTGCGGAGTGCTTTTTTATGTTAATAATTTAAAAGTTTGATGACAGTAAGGTTTATTTGTTTATATTTTTTTCGGCAGAAGAGCACTAAAGGGTCAGAAGTGACTGTATAAACATTAAAACTGTAAAATCGTACAACATTTTCAACACTTATTATAATGATAATAATAACAACAAATAAAATAATAATCATTTCCCAGAGATGGGTTGCGGCTGGACGGGCATCCGCTACGTAAAAACGTGCTAGACCCCGGATTAATAAAGGGACTAAGCCGACAAAAAAATGAATGGATGAAAATAATAATCAATTCCTAATTGGCAAATAAATTGTATTTCTGAGGATTATGAGCTGGAGTAATGGTGTAACAAATTCATCTTTGCATTACAGGAATAAATATGTTTAAATATACATTAAAATACCATTATATAATACAATATTATATTAAATTCTGCATTTATGAACAAATAAAGGCAGCTTCAGTCAGCATATTTTATTATATTATTTATTACAAACAATACAGTTAATAAAAAACTAAATTTAATAAAAAGTCAATAAAAGAAAGAAGGATACCTTGCAGGGTTCACAGAAGAATCACCAATAATCGGCTTAAAGGACGTTCCTGGTCCCATATCAGACAAGCCTGACACTGCCCCCTAGTGGCAAACAGAGGAAAATACGTCTTATTTAAAAGTTAAAGCAAAAACACAAGCAATTGATAGAGAGCGTTCACATCTGAAACGCACAGAAAAGCGCAGCAGAGTCTTGGGAGAGGCCACGATCAGCGGTTTCCGGAAGTTTCTGATCATCTGCCTCCTCAAAAGATGGAAGTATTGAGCTGGAAGTGTGGGATTCACCACCGCCATGTTGACCGTGTCCCCGTCCACACCTTCCTCTTTACTGTCGCAGAGCTGCAGGAGGATAAAACACAGTTAGAGAGATGATCAGAGATACCATGAGACAGAGTCCTGTTAGCACTCGCCTGTAAGAAGCGCTCGATTCGGCAAGATGAATGCTCAGGACCGGCCCCATCGTACCCGTGTGGCAGTAAAATGACCAGTCCACTCTGCAGGAGCCATTTAGCCTCACCTTAAAAAGCGAATAACAACAGGATCTAGGCTTTATGAATATATATTTGACAAATGATCTGCACAATACACTGTAAATAGCAAATAGTTGACTTTACTTAAAAAAAGTGAGTAAGTCTGAGTTAAATGATATAAAATAAACAAAGATTGTGCATAATTATAAAAATTGAGTTATGATAATGGGTTTACTCACTTTTTTAAAGTAAAGTCAAATAATCTCTTTAAAAGCAATGGGTTTACTATTTTTTTTAAGTAACTAATCACTTTTAAGTCAATAGGGTTTACTCACTTTAAGTAGAGCCAACTTGTTGCTTTTAAATCAATGGGGTTTACTCACATTTTTTAAGTTAACTAATCACTTTTAAATCAACGGCTTTACTCACTTTTTAAGTAAAGTTAACTTGTTGCTTTTAAGTCAATGGATTCACTCACCTCCAGAGAGGAAAGTATCAAATATAATCTGGGCACCGTTGAAGAAATCTCCAAACTGAGCCTCCCAGATGGGCAGCAGTCGAGGCTGAGCAATGCTCATCCCATACTCAAAACCCAGAACCGCTTCCTCAGAGAGAGCACTGTTACACACCTGCCAGAACACACACACAAACACACACACACACACACAAAAAGTCAAAATTATTAGATTTATGTTTAACAGAGCAAGAAAATTTTCACAGTACGTCTGATAATATTTTTTCTTCTGGAGAAAGTTGTATTTGTTTTATTTTGGCTACAATAAAAGCAGTTTTGAATTTTTTAAAACCAATTTAGGGTCAATATTATGAGCCCCTTTAAGGTCTATATTTTTTCGATCCTTTACTGAACAAACCATTGTTATACCATTGGCTCGTTTCCACTGACTGGTACAGTACAGTACGGTTCAGGTCGGTAACCTTTATCAGGCTTGCTTTTCCACTACCAAGGGTACCCTTTTGGTGGGCGTGGTGAATAACAGAAAGTTTCAGTTGCATCATTCTTGCTTGAGGAAATGTCTACAATAAAGCTGCACAGGTCGTTCACATTTTATATGAGAAGCACTTCTCACCAAACAGATGCTTTACACACATAAATACTTGTGTATAAATGTTTATTACTAACTTTTCTATGAACATGAGTTGATTATTATCCTTGTTCAAGCTCTTGTTCTCTCCAAACTGGATTACTGCAACTCTCTACTAGCTGGGCCTCTAACTCTATCAAGCCTCTTCAACTGCTCCAGAATGCAGCAGCACGAGTTGTCTTCAATGAACCTAAAAGATCACATGTCACTCCGCTGCTAGTCCGTTTGCACTGGCTGCCAGTTGCTGCTCGCATCAAATTCAAAGCTCTGATGTTTGCCTACAAAGTGACCTCTGGCCTAGCACCTTCTTATCTGCTCTCACTTCTGCAGATCTATGTGCCCTCCAGAAACTTGCGTTCTGTGAATGAACGTCGCCTCGTGGTTCCATCCCAAAGAGGGAAGAAATCACTTTCGCGAAAGCTCACGCTCAATCTGCCCAGTTGGTGGAATGAACTCCCTAACTGCATCAGAACAGCAGAGTCACTCGCTACTTTCAAGAAACGACTAAAAACTCAACTATTTAGTCTCCACTTCACTTCCTAATCTGCAATTGCCTCTTTGAATATCACACTAACTGTACAAAAAAAAAAAAAAAAAGAATACTACTAATACTTCCCTTCTTAGACTTTACAGACCTGAAACTTGCCTATAGCACTTATTCATTGTTGCTCTTAGTTGTGTAAATTGCTTCCTTGTCCTCATTTGTAAGTCGCTTTGGATAAAAGCGTCTGCTAAATGACTAAATGTAAATGTAAATGTAAATTATAACTGCAGATCAATGACAGTGCGAAATAGCCTACTGTAACGTCTGCAATTATATTAAATAAATAAATGAACATATATGAACACATACAGCCCCTTACAGTCTCTGATATGTTACCAACTACTGAAAAACTACACACAGCAGACATTTCGTCCTTATTTAGGTTTAAAGCAACACAAAACATAGCCTAGAGTCAGTGAAAACCTCTCATCTGTGTCTGTAATCTTCAGCAGCACGTATAGCCTCTGTTAGAGAGTCATTCCATTCTTCCTAGTTCATATTAGTCCAAAAGGTGATGATAAAAATTAAAACAAGGCAGCTTGTTCACGTTTGCTGCAGGAATAACATGCTCCTTGGCTTCCCCTTTTTTCTGCGCTTTACTCTCGCGTTTGTCCCTTTCTTTATGAATGTGTCACTCTCGCGTTTGTCAGCTTCTCACTGGATCGGGTTTCCAAAGCTGGTCGATAATCAGGTGCACGTTTTTATTATCAGCTCAAGAAGTTCCGATATAGACGTGCAGCGAGCACAAGAAACAAAGCGAAACCGCTCGCTCTTCAGACTGCCTCGTAAAAAAACTACGAGGCACAGGGTAGATTCTGCTCTACAGCATGGCTTTGTGGCTGTTCATCAAGACAACGACAATGTTTGTTTGAGCTCGGATCGATCATGGCTCATTATTATATGTATAAATAATTCCGCTGTAATCTCTCGTTGTGTATTTCAAACATGGCAGGTAGTTTGTTTTCATTCTGGCTAGTTGCGCAAGCGAATGACGCATCTCTGTAAACCAATAGCGTTCAGCTGCGCTTCTAGCTCCGCCTTTTGGTAGCCTTTCTTGTGTTTGGGACCCTTTCGAAAGGGTGCCGAAAAAGTGGTACCGCATAGTTTGGTTCGGTACGCCTTTTGACAGTGGAAACGGCCATAAAAGCATACCAAACCGAACCCTACCGTACCACTCAGTGGAAACGGGCCATATGACGTGCCTAATTACCCTAACTTGCCTAATTAACCTAGTTAAACCTTTAAATGTCACTTTAAGCTGAATACTAGTACCTTAAAAGAATATTTAGTAAATTATATAATAAACAAACTATTTTTTACTGTCATCATAGCAAGGATAAAATAAATAAGTTATTAGAAATGAGTTATTAAAACTATTATGTTAAGAAATGTGTTGAAAAATCTTCTTTTCTTAACAGAAATTGGTAAATCAAATATACAGGGGGCTAATAACTCAGGAGGGCTAAAGAGTCTGACTTCAACTGTATAAATTAATAAAACTAGGCCAGGACGATTAATCGAAATGAATTCACAAATGAGATTAAAAGCTGCGACTGTCATGCACATCTTGTCAGGGAAGCATAGCTGTGTAAGCAGCAGTAAGTATCCTCCGAAATGCCAGAGGGCGCTCTCACGCAAAACTCCAAACACATCACAAAGAAGAAACCCATAGCTTTGTATTATAAACAGAACATTTAAACACTTGAATTTAAACACTGAACTAAAGTTAGGAAGTGAGTTTGGACTAACAACCGGTTATGTAAATGTGGTATTTTCACGTGGAGCATTTACTGCACACAGTCATAGTTTACAGCTGTCAGAACGATTATCTCAATGTCGTCAGCACCCGATTAAATTACTGACAATGCGAATAAAAAAAAAAAAATCACCTTTGATTAATCAGTGACGCCTAAATAATAAGAAGATAAATTTATCAGTGTTGTTGCTAGCACGTTTTGGCCTAAAAGCCTTCCTTATCACATTAAAAACACACATCAAAGATATTTAAAATGTGTTTTTTTTAAAGGCAAAAAAATGAGGCAGCATTTCTAAAAAAAAAAAAAAAAAAAAAAAAAAAAAGTATCTCCTTTTTGTCAAAAGTAGTGCTGGAATCCCTTTCTTTTCTACCAAACAGCAAATGCTAAAACGGCATAATATAGAAGTGATAAATGACAATATAAATGCAAATATGAGCATTTGTCCATGACCGGTTTACCTCCAAGTGGCCCTTCTGTTCAGAGCTGATGTGATTGAGTGGGATGAACATGTCGTTGGTCTCCTGACACACAACCATAGCGTGGCGCTGACTGAACGTTCCCCGACCCACATCCTGACCACTGATACGGATATTAAACCCTGTAATAAATATATACAGAACACTGATGTTAATTTATGAATGTACACGGTCAATAGAATCAGAAATCAGAAAGAGCTTTATCGTCAGGTATGTCCACACTAGGGATGCCACGGTTCTCAATACAATATTGATCTGTACGGTACAACCTCCATGGTTCAATACACGTTTGTGAATTGTTTTCTCGGTTTTGCGTTTAAATAATTTATGTGCATTTTATATCTCCCCGAATTGACTGTGTGTGGCTCTAAATCCATGAGCTGAGATGAGGAAACTCCTCCCCACGAGTAAACATCCAATCACTATGCTCTAAAGTTAGCGGGCGCTTGACCATCACTCCACACTTTAACATTGCGAGCGGCGGTGAAGTGAGGTTAAGGCGACAGTACAATAAGTGCCGGCGAAGTGAGGCAACAGTATGAGAAAGCGCCGCTGTCTTTTTTCTCCCATGTGGCACAGATCCGTTACGGCTCGTGTACGTGTAAGCAGGAACAAATCACATGGATTCCGATTTACTCGAATCAGATTCAGGCCGTGTTCATATGTGGAAATTTATCCGATATGAATCAGATCTGTGCCTTCGTGTCTGCAGTGTAAGCAGGTCAATCGGATTTTCACCTGTCAATGCGAGTCGCGCATCATTAAAAATCATAGTGAATGACGTCAAGTCTGACACTTTCAGAACAGGCTTCAGCAGAGTCCCAAACCCTAAATGTCATACACGAGGACTTAAAGAGCTTTCATATTGTCATTTAGCACAGGTATTTAAGCATGTTAACGAGAGCGAAAAAGCGCAAAGTCCGCCACGAAACCAATATAAACTAATATAAATCTAGTGCATAGCTACATCACAAGCATAAATTACGCAATAGACATTACATTAATATGCCTAAAGGTTTAAAAAAGCCTAGATCAGTGGTTCTCAAACTTTTTTCATCAAGTACCACCTTCAAAAAAAATAGTCTCTCCAAGTACCACCAAAATGAGCAGTATTGAAATACAGTAGCGTATTAGGCCCAGTAAAGCAGCTACAACTGCACAGTTAAAAAAATGTGGCAGATTACCTCAGAAATATAGGCTATATGTCATATATGGCATATTATATACATCATTTTTGATAAATTTTGAAATATATGTAGCATGTACCTGACATATTTTCTTCCTCCGCGTACCACTAGTGGGAAGCCACAGTACCACAGTTTGAGAACCACTGGCCTAGATATCAGAAGAAGGTGGACAAATGGGAACCTTCCTGTCATATACTAAAGTAAAACAGCTCGTCTAAGATTACATACAGGAATAGAGAAAAGAGCACTCTTTAATTATCAGCTGTTAGTCAGCGCCCGCTCTTTTTTTCCTGGTCATTGCGCCTTTGCCGTGTGCTGTGTAAATGCAGACGATCGCAAACGAGTCACTTTTAAAAGATGATGTAAGCAGGTCAGCAAAAAATAAATAAATAAATCGGATACAGTCACAAAATCGGAATTGACTATCAAGATCTGCAGTGTAAATGCAGACGGGGAGGCTTTCCTAACACCACCTGCTTTTGGTGGTGTTTTTGTCTTGGAATCTAGATGTTATGCTAATACTTTCTGTGGGTTGATGTATTAACATTTTCTAGGTTAATGAATAATAATGTAAACGGTAGTTTATTGTAAACTTTAATTAGTCGCTATTGTATTTTTAATAGTAAAATAATGTTAACCACTCTGGTATTTTTTAATGTTACATTTTATTTTTTTGGACAATTACAGGAAAGAAACAATGAACACTTTACCCTGGCATAGCAATGTGCCAAACGCCAGAGCCTCCGCTGTGGACCAGTCCAATTTTGTGCCCTCTTCTAGTTTCTGCAGACGTGCCTGTAAAGGAGCAAGACAATTATTTAGCCCGTTTTATGTATAACATATCTTTAAGTTTTTTCAAGGTTTTACAATAAATCAAACCACAAAACGTGCCCCAGACAGGTTTAGAGAAAAATAAAAATTAATTAATAATCATTATTAAAAAAATAAAAATACATAAAAATAAAAAAGAATTCTAATCAAACACCAATTCACATTTCACAAGTTCAGACTTCAAAAGCTTCTTCAATATCTTAATTTTTCACATATCACAAAATTTAGCGGACTTTTTCCTTATTATATATGTGAGCTTTTCAAGAGCCAAACATGTTATAGGGTTTCTCAACCAAAATCCAACGGAGGGGCGATCACCATTTTTCTAACATACATCAATACAACGTCTTGCTTGTATTAACCATAAATCAATCCATTTTCTTTCTTTAGTAGACAAAGCACAACTGTCTTCATACATATTCAAATATTTATACATTATAAAATCAATCAAAATTCACCAGAAACAGCGTTCAAATAGCTTCTTTATGAAATAAATGCCTACTCTGTTATATTTAATCAGCTCAAATTAGAAAAAAACAATCCACACTCACTTTTTTCTTGTTTAATATTCCATTTCTTGTCACAATACAAAAATAAAATGGTCACACTTCTGGTTCATGTGGACTTTAAAGTGCATGTCCAACCACTAGAGGGTGATAAAAGCCTTTTGTGATGGGTTGCTTGCAAGTTAATGTAAATGTGAGAACAAAGGCGGATTACTGTCTTGCCGTGCGAACAACGCATAATATGTGACGCATTTGTCGCAATCGTGCAGAATGTTGGTGAATCAAAAAGGAGAAAACAGTGTGCACACTGACTTATGATATTTAGACTCTGTCCAGAGAATTCAGAAATGTTTGGTTTCAGTCACCAACTACTGCCTTACTACAGGATCTTAAAATTGTCAACAAGAGCCCAAAATGAGGTCCAGGATGGATTTTTACCTGCACGTGTGTCTTCCTCAGGTGACTGTGCAGAATGATCTCCTCAGGTATGTCCACTGATTTGGCTCCAACAAACTGCAGCAGGGGCTGTGCGACGCCAGTGTCCCAGCACGAGACTCTATTCTGGGGCTCCACCAGGTCTCCCCAGCGGCCCTGCAGGTTTGTGGGTGGAGGGCTGTAGAGGGTCATGTTAGTCAGCTGGTTGTTGAGCGTAGCGTAGTAGCTGGTCTTGATCTGACTGCGCTCCTCGTCTGTCATCAGACCCTCAGAGATCAGCTGGTCAGCATAGGAATCTGGGATGCTTTTTCTTGACCTTGATAGGAGGAAAATTACACTAGTAGGCGTACGCACAATTTTGTGTTCTTACTAAAGTGTTTACATGGAATGTGGGTAAAAAAGTGACTAGCATTTTAACATTAAGCTACAAGATGAGGGTTTTTGAAAGTTGTGAGCTGCACATACCGTATTATTTTATACATTGCAGGGTTTGTGAAAAAGGGTTCGTCCAGCTCATTGTGGCCCCACTGCCGGTAACAAAGCAGATCGACAATGACGTCTTTTCTGAAGCGTCGCTGGTACTCCACCGCCAGCCGGGTCGCTCTGAGGACTTCTTCAGCATCATCGCCGTTCACATGGATTATTGCACATCCCACCATTTTACCTGAATGACACAAGATTCAGAATAGCAAGAAGTGTTGTTAGGGTGTGGAAAAAAAATTATGTTTACATTTTGTGTGTTGGAGAGTTTTAGTTGACTATAAACATAAACAGAGCTGTTGGTACTTTTGTTTAGTTAAAATATCATCTAAACTTTTAATAGATAAAATAGAATAATAGAAGTTTTTACCTCTAAAAGCATTTTGTCATTTAAATAAAATAAAAAGTTAAATATTTTATTTACATTTTAATTTAACTATTAAAAAATAATAATGTATAGCATTCCTTAAAAAATACAAAATGACAAAAGCAAAAGAATCTACAGACGTGAAATGAAAATAGGTTTTTCCTTGTTTTTCTACATTTAATGATCAATATAATCATAATTTAAATTGAATTCATAAAAAAAATCATAATTGCAATAATACATTATAGCAGTATTACATACAATAAATCTTTAATAATAATTATTATAGTAATTATAGTAACATAATTATATAAAAATTACTTACATAATTTAATAATAATAATAATAATAATAAAGAAATTAACATAAATAAATAAATAAAATAAATAATAAATAAATAAATAAATAAAATCTCTAAACAGCTTGACATTTGTGCAGAAAATGTGATCAGCTATAGACTAAAAGTAGGACAAACTATTTTACCCATTTAATATAAATCACATAATACAACAATATTACATTAAATGAAAAAAATTAATACATTTCAGTTTTTTAATAATAAAGCATTTTAAAAAATGTAAATAGTTGTAACAAAAAATAATAATAGTAATAATATTAAGTAAGTTTCAAATTAAAATCGCAATAATGTTTACTAGAGTCCATTTGATAGTCATTTCAAACTGTTTACAGCAGGGGCGCCCAAACCTTTTCTTTTGAAGGGCCAAAAACCAAACTTGATTGGGTTTTGGGCTGAAGGTACAAAATTGTCATAGGTAATTTTCCTAATTCATTTCAACATATTTAAAAATAAACAAAAAACATGACTTTAATTTTATTAACTAAAGTATTATTATTATTACTACATTTTATAATGAACTTATTACTATGAAAGCATAAACAATTCCATTTATAACACTATCGAGTTCAATGCCGAAAACATTAGTGAATCTGCTCCTGCCCTCTGCCTTGATTTCCTCACTGATGTCTTCTGAATCTGTCGAGCGACAATATGTTTATTTAAAAAAAATCAACATTTAATTAAAACTTTCAATGAGTTTTTTTTAGCTTAACAATAAAACAAACAAACAAAAGGTTAAGTTAAAGTAGAAAAGACAATCTCTTTTAAAGGCATTCTGTCCAACCCATCCCCATCATTCTCCCTCTCTTCACAGATAGGAAGGTGGGCAAATCAAAGGCTACTATGGGCCAGCTTTAACCTGCAGGACCTACTTTGGGGCATCTCTGGTTTACAGCATAAAAATAACAATTCCAAAAATAGGACCATTTGATTTGCTTTACCATGAATGATCAATGATTAAAAAATAAATAAATAAATAAAAATGACATACCAACATCACTACAGTAGAGAGATGATCTTCCCCTCTCAGAGGGAGTGGTGTAGCCCACTTGATTGTTTACAATGAGGTGGATGCTTCCACCCACTCTATAATGAGGAAGATTTGACAAGGTGAAGGTTTCCGGTACTATTCCTTGTCCTGAAAATGAAGCATCGCCATGAACCTGAACAGAACAGATTAAAAATACCATATGTATTATGCATCAGCAAGGTCTGTAATGTTGCGTAAATTGTTCACAGAGAGCGTTACTCATCTGGAAAATAAATACATTGCTGTATACCTGCAGGCAGATGACTTTGTCTCCCGGTCGTGAATGAGGGTCAGTGGAGTAGTCACCGTCCTGTTTGACCTGCTGTCGGCCTCGTGTTTTTCCCTGTGTCACAGGGTTGATGGCCTCCAGGTGGGAAGGATTGGGCAGCATTGTGACATGGAGAGGGTGTCCTGCCCCGAAGTCAAGCTCCACTGTAGACGTTAAATGGGACAAGACGTCTCCGATAGAGGGAGAGTGCTCCGGAAACTCACTGAGACCCCTCATCTTACGAAACATGAGCTGCAACAAACAACAACAAAAGATAGATAAGTTTTGTCAGTGCTTAAAGGGACAATTCAACCAAAAATAAAAAATCAGCCACTACTATTCCCTCTCCATGTGTTTAAAACCTACTTGGGTTTCTTTCTTCTGCTGAACACAACATAAGTATTTTTGAAGAATGCTATTTGATGGCTCGCATTGATTTTCATAGTATCTTTTTTTTTCAAGCTATGGAAGTGGGTGGTTGAGCATTCCTTAAAATATCTTCATTTGTGTTCAACATAAAGTCTGTGACATATCAAAACAAAGCTGTGAGTTCCATGACACTTCAGGGAAACTTTAATAATGACTGCACACAATGAAAATTATAATAATCCACAGAACTTGCTAATGCAAAACAAACAGTTAATTCCAGGACAATGAGTTTCTTCATGTTAAATGAGGAGGTGGAGAGAGTGACTCAGAGGATTAGATGAAGAGGAAATAAGTGGTGAGAAAATACCAGGATATAGACATGGAATGACATTAAGTGAATAAGCGATGACAGAACTGACATTTTTCTTTTTTTTTTTTTTTACAAATGGCAACTTAATTTTCATTAGAGTAGCTTAAAATAGTTAAATAAATAAAATAAAAATCTCACACAAGAAATTGTTTAAAGCAGGGGTGTCAAGCAACTGCTGCCCTGCACAGTTTGGTTCCAACCCTTGTCTAACAAACTTACCTGTAGGTTTCATACCAGCCTGAAGGACTCAATTAGTTAGATCAGGGGTGTTTTATTAGAGTTGAAACTAAACTGTGCATAGCTGCGGCCCTCCAGGACCTGACTTTGACACATGTGGTTTAAAAGGAACACTCCAGCGTTTTCGGAAACAGAATTAAATAGTTGAGTTTTTTTAATTTTTGAAATTATCCTGCTGATCCGCAGGTCTGGCAGCAACACTTTTAGCTTAGCTTAGCATAGATCATTGAAATGGATTGGACCATTAGTATGTTGTTCAAAAAATTTGTCAAAATAGTTTTCCTGTATAAAGCTTGAATCTTCTGTATTTACATAATGTACTGGGACAGATGAAGCAAAAGTTGCTATTTTTTTAAAACCAGAAATATTGCTAATGCTAATAGTCTAATCTGAGTCAATGATTTATGCAATGCCAAAAAAAGTCGCTATTTTCTACATATGTTAATGGTCTAAACCGAAAATAGTGCTAATGCTAATGGTCTAATCTGATTCAATGATTTATGCTAAGCTAAGCTAAAAAAAAGTGGCTATTTTTTTAGATATTACGTTTATGGTCTAAAATGAAAATGGTGCTAATGGTCTAATTGGATTCAATTGTTTATGCTAAGCTAAAAAAGTCACGATTTACTAGATATTATGTTAATGGTCGAAACTGGAAATTATGCTAATGGTCTAATCTGATTCAATTATTTATGCTAAGCTAAAACAAGTCACTATTTTCTAGATATTACGTTGATGGTCTAAACCAGAAACGGTGCTAATGCTAGTGGTCTAATCTGAGTCAATGATTTATGCTAAAAAAGCTGTTTTTTTCTAGATAATATGTTAATGGTCTAACCTGGAAATGGAGCTAATGCTAATGGTCTAATCTGATTAAATGATTTATGCTAAGCTAAGCTAAATTCTTCCCAGAGATCGCCTGGTTCAAAAATAGTAAATCTGTTTAACTATAGGAGAGATGTAAAATGACTATCTCCAAAACAAGTAGAGTGTTTCTTTAATTGATCAATTTAAGTATAACACTTTAGAAAGAAAACAAATGTTAATAATATATATTTTAATTCTCACTTCAATATCTTTATTTTCGTTCTTACATCTTATGTAACACTACATTTCAAAGATGTAGCATAACTAATATAATAACTTCAGTTAAGTATATTTTAACAATACTAAAACAGTTTCTTTTCAGGTTTAACTGAATGAATGTGTTCAAAGTGTGGACCAACAGCAGATTCTCCAAAACATATTTTAAACTGTAGTCAAACTGGTCCGTCTAGCTGATCATCTTTTATACATTAACCTGTGCCAGCAGTAATTATGCATTTACCTCAGGAGGAAACTGAAGAAGGCCGGTGAGCAGATTAAGGCGTCCGCGATGAGGCATTCCCATAACCACATCCGTCACTCCACTGTATACTGAAGAGCGAAACAGCTCGTAGAAAAATCCCATCATGCTCTCTGCTCCCTCGCCTCCATACCGCTTCACAGTTGCAAACTTAGTGGCTAAAAAGTGGTCAAATTCCTTCAAGCAGAAAACAGGACAGGTACAATTGCTGATCCTGCCATGATCTTATAATGATTGACATGTTAGCAAAAATCTAACCGGCATCTTAAGGCTAAATGGTTCTCTTAGGATAATAATAAAAACAATTACAAACGAACAAGAAGAAATTACAAAAAATGACAAGGTACATAAGGCAAAAAAGCCGAGCACAAAAAAGGAAAACTTAATCATACACACACTAAATATTCCTTATTAAAATTCCTTAATAATAATAATAATAATAAAATAAACAATTTATTTAAATAATAGTATGAAAATATATATTTCACTCTCGCAATAGTAAATTGTAATTAAATGATTGTAAAATATTTATATTATTATTTTGCAAAAGAAACAAAATAAAAGTAATATTATTAACACATATTTTACAAAACAATATTACAGTTACAAGATTAACATTCATTCCTGTCGTGTCTTCGGTTATTTGCTTTCAACTTTGAGATCCTCTTTACCATAGTTTGTTTTATGTAAATTAAAAATGTATATAATATAATAATAATAATAATAATATTATTATTCTCAAATGCATACCTAATCAGATATTTTACAGCTGTATATAATATAATATAATATAATATAATATAATATAATATAATATAATATAATATAATATAATCTTTATTAGACACGCTGCTTGTTAACAAAATCTCTAATCGGCCAATCACATGGCATCAACTCAATGCATTCAGGCATGTAGACATGATCAAGACGATCTGCTGCAGTTCAAACAGAGCATAAGAATATGGAAGAAAGGTGATTTAAGTGACTTTTATCGTGGCATGAATGTAGGTGCCAGATGGGCTGGTCTGATTATTTCAGAAACTGCTGATCTACTGGGATTTTCACACACAACCATCTCTAGGGTTCACAGAGAATGGTCTGAAAACGAGAAGAAAATATCCCGTGAGCGGCAGTTCTGTGGGCACAAATGCCTTATTGATGCCAGACATCAGAGGAGAATGGCCAGACTGGTTCCAGCTGATAGGAAAGCAACAGTAACTCAAATAACCACTCGTTACAACTGAGGTATGCAGAAGAGCATCTCTGAACGCATAACATGTACAACCTTGAGGCGGATGGGCTACAGCAGCAGACGACCACACCGGGTGCCACTTCTGTCAGCTAAGGCCCCGTTTACACTAGTGCGTTTTAGTGTTAAAACAGAGTTTTATATCAAAAACGATCAGCATCCACACTAGCGTTTCTGAACATATCTCCATCCACACTACAACACCAAAAACGTATATCACATGACCATTCGCGCACTCTGAACAATGAACGCGATGGCAAAGAAAGCAAGAGAGGTATTTTTGTGGACAGACGACGAGGTCGAGTTGTTACTAAACGTAACAAATGAATAACTGCACAATAGCGCCTAAAACAGACAATAGTGCAAACAACGCTCCCATTTCGGTGTCCATGTTGTTGTTTACAGTGAAGGCTGGTCTGCTGTCTTCCGGTTGCGTTAAAGCCATGTGTTATAGTCACGTGATAGGGGCTTGACGAATAAGGAAAGGAGACGCAATGACACAAAAGCCCCAATCAGGTAGCAAATCTCAGCAGCCCCGCCTCCGTTTTCAGATGTCTCCGTTTTCCCCCATCCACACTGAGATGGAGCAGCAGTGTATTAGAATGAAAACAGCCTCTGCATTGTTTCCAAAACGCTCCGTTTTCAACGCTTGAAAACTCCGGCGTAGTGTGGACGGATGGCGTAACCGTAGCAAAACCTATGCATTTTCAAACTAAAATGCATTAGTGTAAACGGGCCTAAGAACAGGAAACAGAGGCTACAATTTGCATAAGCTCACCAAAATTGGACAATAGAAGATTAGAAAAACGTTGAGAACTTGACGTCAACAACATGAAAGAATGGACCCATCCTGTCTTGTATCAATGGTTCAGGCTGCTGCTGGTGGTGTAATGGTGTGGGGCATATTTTCTTAGCACACTTTGGGCCGATTAGTAGCAATAGAGCACTGTGTCAATGCCACAGCCTACCCTAGTATTGTTGCTGACCATGTCTATCCCTTTTTTGACCACATCTTCTGATGGCTACTTACAGCTGATTAACGCGCCGTCATAAAGCTCTAATAATTTCAGGCTGTTTTCTTGAACTTGACAATGAATGCACTGTACTCATATGGCCTCCACATTCACCAGAACTCAGTCCAATAGAGCACCTTTGGATGTGGTGGAATGGGAGATTCACATCATGGATGTGCAGCTGACAAATCTGCAGCAGCTGCGTGATGCTATCAAATCCATATAGAACAAAGTCTCAGAGGAATATTTCCAGTACCTCGTTGAATCTATGCTACGAAGGATTAAGGAAGTTCTGAAAGCAAATTAGGGTCCAACCTGACCATTATAATATAATATAATATAATATAATATAATATAATATAATATAATATAATATAATATAATATAATATAATATAACGCCTCTTTTATAATATAATATAATATAATTTAACACCTCTTTTATAATATAATATAACATAATATAACACCTCTTTTATAATATAATATAATTAATATAATATAATATAATAAAATATAATATAATTTAATGCCTCTTTTATAATATAATATAATGCCTCTTTTATAATATAATATAATATAATATAATTTAACACCTATTTTATAATATAATATAACATAATATAACACCTCTTTTATAATATAATATAATATAATATAATAAAATATAATATAATTTAATGCCTCTTTTATAATATAATATAATATAATAAAATATAATATAATTTAATGCCTCTTTTATAATATAATATAATATAATTTAACACCTATTTTATAATATAATATAACATAATATAACACCTCTTTTATAATATAATATAATATAATATAATATAATATAATATAATATAATATAATATAATATAATATAATATTAGTATCTAAATGTTTGTCTTACCTGTGACTCGAGCATCAGTTTAGCCAGCATTCTCCTTTCCTCTGGAGAAAACGCCTCTTTTTTGAGCTCCTCAAAGCGGTCAGCAAACCACTCTCGTTCCTGTAAGGTCTGCAGCTGAGAGGTTTCCACTGAGATTCCCCCACAGTATGTGCTTTCCAGATACGCCACAACCTCTTCTGCAGTCGCCTCAGCTTTACCAAAGTGCCGCAACCCTGAAATAATGACAAACACAAAATTAAGCAGCTAAATGGACGAAACTATTAAATAATATTATTAAAAAATAATGGGAATGAAAATGGAAAAAACGAATCAACCTCAATGATTTTCTGTTAAATAACTTAGGTTCTAAAATGTATTTAAATTTGCCATTTACTTTAAATACAGATATTTAAATGTTTCGTGTTTGTTAATTATGCAAGCTCATGCAAGTAACATTCATTTATTACCACTGTAATACTGAAGTTGTAGGGGGCCCGACCAATGCCAAAAAAGCCTATATTACTCATATAGCTCTTTTATACATTTTCTATCATATGTTGTAAAATCTGTCTATAACCGTTAAGGTTTTAACTCTATAATTTTTATTCAAAACCAAGGTCCCAGATGAATAATGGAACATTTCTTACATTACTGCACACGCTCCAGTCAGTTTTGCAAACCTGACGACTTTTCAGACCCCCCTTAGAGCCAAATAAAAAAAAAAGTGATAGCGAACTGTTACTGGCGATTTTTAGAGATTCTTGTGTGTCCGTGTCCATGATGTTATATTTATATATTTGTTTTTTTGTTATATATATATATATATATGCAATATCACACTCGTAGCAGTGCGATATGGCTGTATATCGGCACTGGTGGGAAGCGTGCGATGGCATAAGGCCGCAGGCCGAGTGCCCCCACCAGTGACGATATACAGCCATATCAAACTGCTACGAGTGTGATATTGCGTTTATACAACTCTTTGACGGTATAATTGTGTATATAAAAACAAAATCAAACATGGAGAGTCTCAAAAACCCTTATGTATAAGGAACTACATTCTTCCACATTGTATTCAAATCATAAGCTGACAGTTAAACAGCTGTTAAAACAGTTAAAGGCATCTTTTAGACTTTAGCTCTTTAGTGTCAGCTTTTTGCTGTGTGTGCGGAGTAATACACAAAGGGTAAAGAGGCTGTAGGAGTTGTGATATTGCAGAATATCACACAGCTTTCAGCCAATCAGATTTGAGAACCAGACAAAACTGTTGTGTGTATATATATATATATATATATATATATATATATATATATATATATATATATATATATATATACATGCAGTTTATTTTTCAAAAATGCTAGGGCCCCCAAATCACTAAGTCCGCCCATGTGTTCATGCTATACACATGCTCTGCAGTGTCACTCATATAGAGTTTAACTGGTATCAAACATGGAACATTCCTACAGTCAGACGTAACATAACAATAAGCTCTATGAACCAGGAAACAGCACTGAGCTAACCGGTAGTGTTGAGGACTCCACGAACAGCTCCATTCAGCAGGCTTATCTCCGGTACACTCTCCAGCACGGGACTTTGTGGTAGTAAGGGGTTAATTTTAGCTACTTTGTGTCCATGTGCTCGATAGGCCTCCACCAGTCTCGCCAGTCCGTGATCTGTTTACACAAGACAGCAGCTTATAATACATTAACCCACTCTGTACATTAAAGCGATGCAGAAAAATAGCATCTTGTGTATATTTATGCTTGAAACGTTAGGAAGAAGCAAGCCAATAGCAACGTTGAGGTTTTGTGTCTCTAAAGCAAAACATTATAATACATAGAACATTCAAGTGAGTACCTCGGTTAAGAGCGGAGATCTGCGTTAACTCTGCCCGTCTTTCTGGACCGTCTCTCGGTCTGAAACCGTACACACCACGCTGAGTGTGGTATAAATTCGCTAAAAACGACCTCCTGGCACCAAAGGAGCGGTGCAAAAGCCGAGGGAGGTGTATAAGCATACTGCGCGCTGACATGACGTAAATAAATAAGGTAAACTTGGTTAAAAGACGATGACAAGTTTCGCCGAAGAGCCACGCATCCTAGAGCGCAGCCATAATAAACGATAGCGGGGGGAGAATCGTTCTTGTGAATCGAATCTTCTCAGTGATTCGATTCTCAAGTCCAAACGGATTTGTTCACCACAGCTAGAATCCTACATTAAAGACCTAAAAATAAAACACCAGTTACAACTAACATTGTGTAAATCCAATTTAGCTAGAATTAGAATGTACTAATTTAGATTTATAACTAATGGATGAAATGGTATTTATTTTAATTATATTTTGACATGCTATTTTATTAGTAGTAATATCATAATTATTATAATTTGTCTGAATACATTATATTATTAGGCAGATACACGTATTCAAAGCGGCATGCAAAAGAGAACAATTACAGGCGAATCAAAGCAACAAATATGTAAGTATGATCATTGCTAGCAGCATATAATTTTTAGATAAATATTAAGAAAACAGAATAGAGAATACTTTAAGAAGTATTGGTGTAAGATTTATTTCAAAGACATTTGAAGACAAATAACAACAAATAAATTAAAAAAAAAAAAAACAGTTTTTGTCTATAATGCACATAAAATGTGTTCAACTATGAGCCGAAGCGTGAGCACTTAACTTTACAATATATTATTACAATATATGCTTATAATATATTATTACAATATATGCTTATAAGCACATTTATTGATGTAACTGAAAACATAAAATATAATTAACTGCCATGTGAGCCTAATGTTTTATTGTTTGTCTTGGAAGAGCCACTATAGATATTACATCTGTATAATATAGAACATTATATTATGCCTTTATTTAGATCAGTGATTTTTTAATGCTTCAATCAACACATACATGACAATATAGCAAACAAAATAATGCCAGTGTGATGGAAGGTAAATAATAATAATAGTACAAAAAAATAAATGATCAAAATGTTAAAAATAGAGCATAAATGTGCAGTTTTAATTGCCTTTCTACTATGCTAAAAAGTACAAAGTATTTTTTAAGTTTTTATAAAACAAAGTAAAACAGGGTTTTTTGTTTGTTGTTGTTGGAAAATTAACACTTATGAATATGAAACTTAATCAACAAAATAAATATGTTAAAAACAAAAACTTTGTTTTTCAAATAACCATAATTAAAATATCCAAACATTATGTTTTCAAAATGCAAATTAAAATTAAAGAGTACCTTTTTTTATAAAGACAGAAGCATCATATTAACATAACCACAGTGCCAAAAGATGTGGGGTACAGTTTACAAATGCAAAGAACAAAAGAGCAATTTATATCAAAATCCTTTTTATATTTATTAAGAAAATGTGAGGCAATGACCGAATACTTTCCCATTTAGGAATTCTTACACACTTTTTCCAACGGGTAACAAAGCTAGGTTTGAAAACAACCTGGTTTGAAAAAAAAGAGAGTGAATAGATTTGTTATTTTTAGACTGCGAAAAACTAATTTTACCACACATTGTATCAGGTAGACTGACTAAGCGCATATGAATCCAAGTTACATCTTTAAATAAGGACACAAAATTACAATTGCAGAGAAAACAAGAGAAAATTCCTTGGGAGTTACAAGAAAGTTAAAATGTACAAGAAACACTACCAAATAAGTCATAAGATACCCTTGAGTGTTATCCTGACAAACTAAAACAATATCCTTTTTAAACCACCTCTCCAAAAAATACTCTTGCGTTTATACAAAATACATATATTGTTCCAAATAAACTAACGTTGTGAAAAAATCTCCAACACAGTCAGTGATGTGTAATCCAAAGTGGTTTTCAAAGTGGGGGTCGGAACCCCTGAGGGGTCGCGGGACAATAAAGGGGCCTGGTGGTTTCCAAAAATCGATTTATTTTTATTAAACCATAAGAATTACAATATTATATTAATAATCTTCTGAAAAGAAAAGAATAGTAATTTATAGTTACTCTATACTTTCTAGTTACTATAGTAGCTTATAGTTACTAGTTCTATTGGATATATTAAAGACACAGCAATAGCGTCAGATGCAGCAGATTGATTTTATAACATCTGGTTAAATTTTCTGGCACATTTCCAGCACTTACATACATAAAAAAACTAATAAACGAAGAATAGATTTGGGTCTATTGGTGTGCGTGCGTCATTGCATGCAAGGTTTCTGTAGTTATAACCACCTCAGAGGATATTGGGGTTCGCGAGTCACTGGCATTGTTATTTTGGGGGTCACGGGCTGAAAAGTTTGGGGCACCCCTGATCAATACAGTCAAGCCGGAACCACGTGATGACGTACGTAAAAGAATAGACGAGTCGATTTACGGGAATGAACTGTTTGAAAGAACCGATTCGCGATGAGTCGGACGAAGCATCACCAATGCACAGTAGCAGGAGGGAGGTAATGATTTACTCGTCGCCTGTTGGCTGGAATAGAGGCTTTGGTTCGTAAGAGGGCTTGGATAGGTCAACTTGTTTATGCAGTCTGGTGTGTGTGTGTGTGCGTGTGTGTGTGAACTGAGAGGTATTTCTAAGAAGTTGAGGAACCTTACAGTATGACAAATATAGCTTGTTTATGTTGCAACTGTAAAAACAGCATAGAAGTTAAAACGCTGCAATAGGTGAAAGGTTGGCACTGTGAAACTGTGTTATGAGCTGTGTAAACTTTTTATGGAAGATTTGTTCAAGTTAAACATTAACTTTTTAAAATGACAGTAATGTATAAAGGCTATGTACCACAGTAAACGTAATTTATTGTTATTTTACAACTTGTAATGGAATTGAACTATTTACATTGCATGGAAATAGTACAACATTATTGTAATTATTGGTTTTATTTTGATAATATTGGTTTTATACGCTGTAAAGTCAGGAAAATAAATAAATAAATAAATAGATTTATCTTTAGGGTGACAGGGTGGCTCAGTGGTTAGCCATGTGTTCTCACAGCAAGAAGGTCACTTACTGAGCCTCAGCTGGGTAGTTGGCGTTTCTGTGTGGAGTCTGCATGTTCTCCCTGTGTTGGCGTGGGTTTCCTCCGGGTGCTCCAGCTCCCCCACAGCCTAAAGACATGCGCTATAGGTGAATTGAAATAACTGAAGAGTGTATGGGTGTTTCCCACTACAGGGTTGCTGCTGGAAGGGCATCCGCTGCGTAAAACATATGCTGGATATGTTAATAGTTCATCCCGCTTTGGCGACCCCTGATAATTAAAGGGACAGATTGAATGAAAATTTTATTTTTATTTTGTTATTACTTTATTTACTTTACAATGTTTCTTATATAATCAGTTTTTATTCCTGAGACATTGTATTTATATCATAGTGTTGCACCCAAAAATACGAATTCATTCATTTTCTTGTCGGCTTAGTCCCTTTATTAATCTGGGGTCACCACAGCGCAATGAACCGTCAACTTATCCAGCAAGTTTATACGCAGCGCATGCCCTTCCAGCGTCAACCCATCTCTGGGAAACATCCACACACACATTCACACGTACACTATGGACAATTTAGCCTACCCAATTCACCTGTACTGCATGTCTTTGGACTGTGGGGGAAACCGGAGCCCCCGGAGGAAACCCAAGCGAACGCAGGGAGAACATGCAAACACAGAAATGCCAAGGCTCGAACCAGCGACCTTCTTGCTGTGAGGCGACAGCACTACTGCGCCACTGCTTCGCCCCAAATACTAATTAATTATAATTTAAAATCTTTATACAGTACCTAATCTCAATTAATTTACAGAACAAAAATGATTAATTTTATTTACCTTTTTTTATTGTAAGTGGTTGCAAACAATTGATATGGGCTGAATTTAAACGAACAAATTTGGTTCAATATTACTAAACTGTTTTAGTTTGTTTTAATTCAGCCCATATCAATTGTTTGCAACCACTTACATTAAAAAAAATAGTAAATCCAATTTATCTTTTTTAAACCATTAACAAAAGAGTTTTTTTTAAATAATTTTAAATATACTAAAATGTATTATAAGCACATATTCTTTTATATATGCCTATTTTACAATTCATTCATTCATTTTCCTTTCGGCTTAGTCCCTTTATTAATCAGGGGTCACCACAGCAGAATGAACCGCCAACTTATCCAGCATATGTTTTACGCAGTGGATACTCTTCCATCTGCAACCCATGACTGGAAAACACTACTTTATTATATTGTACAGAATAAGTTTTCTTTCATGATTGCATAAATAGCAATGAAACTGTAACACTTTACAACAACAGTACATGAATAAAGATGTATTAATATGTATACACTTTTCTTATGTTGTTTAGTGTAAACGCACTAAATGGATGTGAATAAGGAGTTCATGAGTAGTCAAGAATGATGATGTGCCCCCCCCCCCCCCCCCCCCCCCCCCAGAGCACTCACAATATTATTATACATTAACATATCATGATTTCATGATTTCATTAACTGTAAAAACTAATGTGGTAATTAATACATTAATTAAATAACAATCATGTACTACCAAGTAATTAAGGTAGCCGTTATTCACACATGAACTCATCTGACTCATCTTGTAGTTAAAGTTAGTTAGCACTTACTCATTAGTTCATAACAAAAGTAATGTTTAGTTTACATCATTTAGTTTACACGATTTAGTTTAGTAATGTTTTATACATTATTATTCATGTACTGTTATTTAAAGTGTTACCAATGAAGCATTAATTAACCAATATTTCAACATTTTATTTTGCCAGAAGTTATTTAGAAGCATCAAATTAGACACTTTACCTTCATAAAAATTATTTTTAATATGTATATAAAATATTTTTTGTTAAATTAATAATGAATTTAATGCAGATACCAAAATACGCTCTCAAAATCTAAAATCATGTAATCACACAAAATCATATATTTTCTCTATTTCGGATTCAGGTAACATTTCAAACACTTTAGTTCCCCCTATAGGCAGACATGGAGCATTGCAGGCTCTAACAGCTCTGGAAAAAATGCCATTTCAGAAATCATCTTCATCCGTAAAACCCAATATACAGTACATCTTGACAATTTAGATCTGAATCTAAGAATCAATTTTAATATGAT